AGTGCGGGGCCTGGAGCCCTCACATATCGATCCAGCTTGAAGAATGTTGCAGAAAGATGGGGTCGGGGGCTCCGATCGTTTTTTTCACCATGCTTTTTTTTCCGCGTCGTCGGATCTCAGGGGAGGGAGGTGCGGTACAGGAGGTTCAGCAGATCGTATCCCGAGGTAGATGCGCGGTCGAGGGGGGGGGGGGTGCAGCGGGTTGATGCTTCGGCCTGTCGGTACAGCGCTGCAGAGTGCAGCATCCGCCTTTACCCCTTTCGATTGGGGTTGCGGATCTTCTTAGCTTTCTCTTTTCACCTGGCTCGTGATGCGAATGGCACGTGCGGGGGCTGACGGGGATAGCATCGAAACACATACATGTGGATGTACGAAAGATTTTTCTCTTGAGGTGAAAATGGCCATGAGGAGTTCGCGAGACAACGTCGGCGCCGCCGAACGGACGGCAACAGGACGAGCTGTTTGCAGCAACTGGGGGGGGGAGGGATGTATGTATTCATGTTGAATGGGGCCCGCTCGCGCGGGGAGTTGATGGGATTCCGCGAGACGACGCAGGGCCCATCGTGGAAAGTTGATTACCGACCCCCCCTCCCCCATAGAATCTTAACACGGGCGGCTTGCGGGGTCCGTGGATCCGATTTCTTCCGGTCCCCTGGTTTAATTTATAATGCAAGTTTAAAACAGGAAGAAATCGGATCCGCCGTAAAAAAATAAGACCGGATTGTTGCATTCTTCGGGCTGGTCGATCCGTGATGCGGAACTGTGCGAAGTCGCCCAGCTCGAACATCTTGCGACGCCATGATCTGAAGGTCCTTCTCGGACGCTCCCCATTTGCACCGACCCCAGGCCCAGACCCCCGACGTCATGATTTTGTCATGACGTCGACCCCCAGAGGTCTCGACTCATTCCCTGGGACCCGCGTTTCATCCTGAGTCCTTTTTGACGACCCGGGGTCCCAGAAGGGCCCCTCGAGGCCGAAAGTAGCGAAGACCTTGCCGTCGTGATTTTTTGTTTTCATGACTCGAGGGTATCTGGGCTTGACGAACACCCCGCAGGATCACAAATTGCCCGCCGCGGGCCGTCGTTCGCGAGGCGGGCCCCCAGGGGGGGGGGGGCCCGTGGACGCTGGAGCCAGGACCCGCCTCTGGGTGTGCACCCGGTGCCCCGTGTGCTCTCCCCCGCCGGCCTCCTCCCGCCCCGCCCCTCTGGTCTCCCGCGCTGTCGTGCCTCAGTTCGGGCAACGAAATCTATACATATCCACTGCTCCCTGGCCAGGCCCATCCCGAACCCAGCAGCGCTGTATACGCCCTCTTGGCCAAGCGAGGAGGGCGTGGCGTACACACAGCTGCTGGGTTCGGGATGGGCCTGGCCAGGGAGCAGTGGATGTGTATAGGTTTTGTCGCCCTATCAGTTCCAACGTGTGCGCGGGACAATGCACAGGGCGCTGGCGCCACCCCGCCTGTGCAGGGGGGGAGGGAGGAAAAGTAGAAAGGCCCGAGGCGCAGTGGCCCCGGACCCCCGACGTCATGATTTTGTCATGACGTCGATCCCCCGAGATCTCGATTCATTCCCTGGGACCCGCTTTTCGGCCTGAGTCGTTTCTTGACGGTCCCGAGACCCGGTAAGGGCCGCCAGAGGCCGAGAACAACGAAAAACCTCCCGTCGTGATTTTTTCACGACTCGAGGGATGCTGGGGGTGCGGGACAGGGGGGAGAGAGGCAGCGAGACAGTGGGCCCCGCTTCGGTGCGTACCTTAGTTCGCTTCGGTGCGCCCCGATGGTGGGCAATCTCACTTTTGAACCTCTGCTGATCTCTGCTGTTCTCAGGCCCCGCTGGAACTACCAGCGAGCCCTCGGAATGAGGGGGCCTGCAGGGCGCGAGGAGCGCCACCCGCTCCAACAGAGCTGCGGCACACCGTCGGCCTGCGGATTGCGAGCCGCTCGCCGCCATCGGCTCGACCGGCTCGACCGACGCTCGCCGCCTGCGCCCGCGGGCCAGCAATCACGGCAGCAACAACGGGCCCTCCCCCTGCGCGCGCACGCGCCTCCCACGGCCCGCCGCACGCCCTCCGGGCCTTCGGGGCCCACAGGCACAGGCGCGGGGGGGCCGGCGCTGCGTCCACGGCCGTCCCCGGACCTCCTCGAGGCACAGAGGACGGCCCTCCCCGGCCCGCCGCGCCCTGCGGGCCTCGGGGCCCGGGCGCGCTCGCGTGGCCCCTCCCGCCCGGGGGGGCCGGCGCTGCGTCCACGGCCGTCCCCAGACATGCGGTTCCAAGCGGGGCCCCAGCGATGCCGGTTTCGTTCGCAAGGTCGTCGCAGGAGGCTTTCACTCGCACTTCGAAGTCTCGAATGCGACGCCGCCGTCTCAGAAGTCCCTTCGGCCGGCGTCGCTCTAGGAAACGCATCACCCAGACCCCATCGAGTCACGAAGAAATGGCGACAGCAGGTTCTTCGCTATACTCGGCCTCGAGGGGGTCCTTCTGGGCCTCGGGGGCTGGCAGGAACACGACACAGGATGAAACGCCGGTCCCCGGGAACGGGTCGAGACCTCGGGGGGTGTCGGCGTCATGACAGAATCAGGACGTCGGGGGTCTGGCCCTGCCCCTCAGATTCGCCTCAGATCTGGGCGTTGCAATCTTTTAACACTGGGCGTTGTCGCCTGGTTTCGGGCCCCCGTGGGTCACAGATCGATTCGGCTCGAAAAGTGCCGCAGGAAGATGGGGTCTAGGGCTCCGATCACGATTTACCACGAAGTTGCAATGTTGCCGCAACGTCGGATCTCAGAGGTGGATGGCCGCCCAGGGCCCGAAGAGCGGACTCCGCAGGCCACATCATCTCCTTCCTTCGGTCGTTTCGCAAGTGAGGGGCGATGAATTTCGATGGCGGCGTTTTCCCAGATTTCGGCCTCTGGGGCCGTTCTCGGGCCCCCGGGACCACCGAAAATAGATCTGGGACGAAAAACTGCTCCCAGAGAAGGCGCCCCCAAAGGGCCCCCTGGGGTCAATCCGTTTGGATTCAAGTCGTTTTAGCTCAAAGTTGCTTAGCTCGAATCGTGTAAGCTGAAGGAGCCAGTGTTTCGCAGATGCGACGCTCATGCTCAGTACGGGTCGTGAAGTCTTCGAGGAGAGTCGCTCTTGCTTTGCCTCATGCGGTCGCATGTGCCAGCATCGCGCGTGGAGCTGCAATTGCACCCTGCCCGCTTTGGTGTGTCACCTCCAATGCAGCACCGAATCGTTCGGCGGTGTATTTTTAGTTAGTATCATACCGCTCCTACGTTCCAGTTGGAACTCGGCTGAATTATTCTCAAACGCGTGATGCGTCGACGATGTAGCCGATCTGAGCGGCTCATCCGTAGACTTACATTCCTGCGGCCCACAGTGTTGTTGTCGATGGACTCGCGAGGCCACTCCATATTCGCACTCAGTCGAACATCATGGTGTTTCCAGAGCCTGCTCAGGATATGCTAGCATATCGCGTTGGATTTTTCGACGGGGATGGATGCGTTTACTCTGACTTACTCTGACCGTGAATGCGCTCTCTTCGCCCACATTGTAGAGCAGGGTGCGCAACAAGCAGAGGTTCTCTTCTTGTTCCTGAACCTCTTCTGTGGCGGTATCTATTCTGCGAAGGCCGTGACTGGGTTTGAGCAACCGACGCTGATTTGTAATATTGTTGGTGAGGCTGCGCGTGGCGCAGCCTGGCGGCAGGCACATGAGTCGTGGACCAAGCATGAGCGAATCGTAATCGGGTCTTCAAGGTAACCCAGAAAGGCTGAATAGATATTGCTGCTCTCCACTTCGCTGCGGGAGTTGAAACGTGTTGCTCTATCTGTTTTTTTTCGCTGCAGAGGGATGTGTCCACGTGGCTGCAAACGGAGCGTTGTATTTCATAGTCGGATAGAACAGGACCATAACGTGTTCTTGGCCATACAAGCGTTTCTCACTTGGATCATTCGTTCGCCATCGATCAGCATATTTCCTCATCGTAGCGACACGTCCCACGCTCTACGGAGCTACGAGAAGTCATGTGTCTCGGCGCCTTGAAGTATATGCTGGAGGCGGGGCTTCATGTGGAACGCACAGGCAGAGTTAGCCAGCGAGCAATCACATTGACGTGCGTGAAGAGCTTGCCACGTTGAAGGGGAACCAGTCGCGGCTCTAAGCTCTAAGCTATGTGTTCGGAGGGATGCCTCAGAGCCCGTAGCATTGCAATTGCAATTGCAAACCAGCGGTTGAAACGGTGCCAGAAGAAGGGCGATTCTAGTGGCGCTCGAGCTGTGCAGGCGGACCTCGAGTTGCAGCGGCGTGGCGACCAACTTAGCAAACTGCAGATGCGCGAGGCATGGCTGCGCGACAGATCTCGTTCAATGCTGACAGGGTGCCGTGCGAAGAGTCGAAGGGCCCCCCTGGGGTCTCGAAGGTGCACGGGAATTGCACCTTTCCCCCTCCTCCTTTTTCTGCCCCCCTTCTTTCGCAACGCCAGATTCTTCCAGGGTTCCGCCCTCAAGGGCTTCTTATCGCGTGCGCGGTTAAGCGCATCGAGGTGGCTCTCCAGAGCTCGGGTGCGTTAACACGACCCCTCCCTTCCCAGTGTAGTTTCTGAAAGTCTGAGAACGTGGCATGCTAAGGCCGAAAAACGCACCCCACTGATCTTTCTTGCGGTGTGCTCTGACCAGAAATTCGAGGTGGATCCAGCCGTGGTGATGGCCCCTCCCCCCCTGGGAAGCCCAGACAGGTTCGAACACGTCCAGAATCCTTGATCCTCTAATTATCCTCGAACCTCGACCCTCGATTCTCCTCCTCCTCCTCCTCCTCCTCCGCCTCCGCAGTACATGTCCCAACGAGTTTACGACCACCTGGATCCAGTTCGAAATTTAGATTTTGCGGTGGCCGCACGTGGATATTTTTGCCAACTGATGCGGGCATTGATGCAGACTGCAGATTGCAGCAGCTGCAGCAGCAGCTCCCCCGTCTCCTTTTTCTGCCGTGACGCGCTGGGCAGGCCACCACGGCGACGCCGCAGACGTGTCTGGGCAGCCGGCTGTCTACCCCGGCCCCGCTGCCGGACCCGACGACTGCAGGGCGGGCCCCCCAGCAGCTCCACGTCGTCGTGTCGTCGTCATCGTTGTTGTCGTCCTCGTCGTCCTCGTCGTCTTCGTCTTCGTGTTCGGCGTCTTCGTCGTAGACGTCGTCGTCGTCTTCGTCGTCTTCGTCTTCGCCGTCTTCTTCTTCTTCTTTGTCGTCGTCGTGGTGGGCGTCGCCGGCGGCGTCGGCGTCGTCGTCGGCGTCGTCTTTGTCTTTGCTGTCGTCGTCGTCGTCGTCGTCGTCGTCGTCGTCGTCGAGGTCGTCGTCGAGGTCGTCGTCGTCGTCGCTGTCGTCGGCGTCGTCGTCGTCGGCGTCTTCGTCGTCGGCGGCGTTGTCGGCGTCATCGCCGTCGTCGTCGCCAGCGTCGTCGTCGTCGGAGGAGGAGCGGGAGAAGTTGGGCGAAGAGACTGAGGGAGAAGACGAGGAGGGAGGAGGAGCAGGAGGAGGAGGATGAGGAGGAGGAAGAGGAACAGGGGGAGGAGGAGGATTTGGGATGGAGAAGGACGAAGGTTGTAGGGTGTTGTGGTTTGGTTATTGATGGTGAGTGGGGCCTTGAGCTGATATTCATGGTGATGACGGTAAGGGTGATGATGATGGTTACGCTCATGATCATGATGACGATGATGATGGTGATGATGATGATGACGATGATGGAGATGGTGAGAAGGAGGAGGAGAGGAGGAGGATGAGGATGGGGAGGCGGATGACGAGGAGGCTAGGATTAATGCTGCTGTTGGTGATGCTGCTGAGGATGATCATGGGAGGGCGAGGGCGAGGATGTGCAGGAGGATTTGGAGTCGGATCCCGAATTGGACACGTGTGTTGTTGTTGCTGCTGCAGTTGTTGTGGTTGTTGTTACTGTTGCTGTTGTGGTTGTTGTTGATGTTGCTATTGTTATTGTTGTTGGTGGTGTTGTTGTTGGTGTTGGTGTTTTTGGTGTTGAATTCTCATCCCTAAAGAATAATTATGTTTGATCCCCCCTCCGGGGCACATTGTGTTTTTCAATTGCAGTGCCCTTCACTGGGCTCGCACCATATCAGGGAAAGTCTTGGGTCTCAGAATTTGTTTGTTGGTCCCCGGTTCACAACATCAGCGGCTCCCGCTTGATACTTCCTTCCAATTTATTGAAGAATCGCGCTCTCGCGAGGGACGTCCTCACAATTTATGTAGGAATCTCGCTCTTGCGTGGGACTTCCTCGCAGTTTATTCAGACGATGCGCCTTCGGCGCTCAGGAATCACGCTCTCGCTTTGGCCTTTCTCACGGTTTACTTGGGAATCGCGCTATCGCTCGAGACTTCCTCGCGATTCATGCAGGACCCACGCTTCAGCAACCCGCCTGCTCGACCTGGTCGCCTGGGCCCGCCTTCCCGACCCGCCCGCTATGGGTCTGCCCATCCGATTTGCCCGTCTGGTTCTACAAATTGTTTTCTGCTAATTGCCCCCATCCTGCTAATTTCTCTCGTGCTCCATCCTTCTCCCTCCCCCTTCCACCCGTCCTCTCTTCCCTTGTTTTAGGTACTGCGCTAAATGCACGTGGCAGGTAGGGAAGATATACCCCCAAAGGGGTGCGATCGAAGACGAAGAGGGCGGGTACCGAGGGTTTTGGGATAAACGTATTGAATGGCACGTGAGCAGATAGGAGCGAACAATCATCTTAAACTGATTGTTGTGGTTGTTGTTGCTGTTGTTGTTGTTGTTGTAGTGGTGGTGGTGGTGGTTGTTGTTGGTATTGGTGAACTTGCCGAGGGTCCTCGTCTTTTTTGCTATACTCTGTTGGTGAAAGTGGTGTGGCTGGAGGAGGAGGAGGAGGAGGAGGAGGAGGAGGAGGAGGAGGGGGAGGATGATATGGAGGAGCAAGGGTTGGAGGAGGAGGAGGAGGGGAGGGAGAGGAGGAGGATAAGCAGGACCACAGAGAGGAGGAACAGGAGGGGAGAGAGGGGGATGAGGATGACCAGAGTAAACTGAAGATGCAGAAACGATGCTGCATTACACCCTCCCGTCTCAAGTCCCCTCCAAGGCCCCTCCTCATGCGGCCCTACAGGTTTACAATTTCACTGCGAGAAGCGCCCCTCTTGAAAGACCAGCAGCGCTGGGCATGCCATTTTGGCGAGGACACCGCTTTGAAAAGGAACTGCCTTGCATGGCACTGGCGCGTAATCAGGAAGGCCGAACGCAATGACCATGTAGTTCAACGAGGTGTCCAGGGAGATCCCCTTTTCGAAGAAGGACCGCCCCTGTAAATGTAATTGGTGCTAGAGCTTGCGCGTGTGGTCATGCACTTAGAGGAAGTCGCAACTGCCAGCTCCATGTTTAAACAGAGCCGTCTTGTATCCGCGCAGCGCTGCGTGCGTTGACGTGTTGGGTCTTTCAGCCAAGGGAAGTCGCAGGCGAAAAGTCCATTTCACAAAAAGAATAGTTCTCCATTCTGCCAAACGCTGCATTCGAATGCGCGCGGCGCTGGCGCGACAGCTCCATTTTTGAATACGGCCGGTGCTCGATCCTTGAAGCTGTTGCTAGCTTTTGAGGCGAGTGTTCGCGGCGCTAAGGCGAGAACTCCATGTTATAAATAAGCCGCTCTTTATTTGTGATTCGAATGCACACTTTCAAGACGGGTGCGCACGGCGCTCTGGCGAGAGCCACGTTTTGACTTTTCCTTTTCATCCTTGAATTCGTCGCTAATTTAAGACGAATGTTCGCGGCGCTCAAGCGAGAGCCACATTTTTGAAAACGCCTCCTTCCATCCGTGAATTTGTTGCAAATGTTTCAGACGGGTGTGCGTGGCGCCCAAGCGATATGCACGTACTGAAAAAAATCTGCCGTTCATCCGTGAAGTTACCGGGTTTTAGAATGAGTGCGGCGTTGAGGCGGCGTTGAGGCGTTGAGTCGGAAGACCACCATTCTTCCATCCGTGAAGCCGCTGTAATTTTTTGAGACGAAGGTGCGCGGCGTTCTGGCGAGAAACACGTTTCGACAAGGAACCACACTCAATCATTGACATGGTTACGAACCTTTAAGACGACTGAGCGCGGCGCTTTGGCGAGAGTCACACATTGAAAAGGAATCGCTCTCCATCACGACACTGCTGTAAGCTCCCCAGACGATGATGCACTGCGCTACGGCGAGAGCCACATTTTGAACGCGATGTCTTCTCTATCCGAGAAGCTGTTGTAAACTTTACAAACGAATGTGCGCGGTGCTTTGGCGAGAGCCACCCCAACCAGTGACACCGTTGCGAAGTTTCAAGACAATTGTGCGTAGCGCTAAGGCGAGAGTCATATTTTGAACAGGAATCGCGCTCCAGCATTGCAGCTGTTGTAAGCTCTTGCGGCGATTGTGCGCGGCGCCACGGCGAGAACCACACTTTGAACGCGATCCCCATCCAGCCGTGAAGCGGCTGTAAACTTTTAAAACGAATGTGCGCGGCGTTCTGGCGGTAGCCGCGTTTTGAACACGACCCTCCCTTTATTTGTGGAATTGCTGCAAACTTTTAAAAAGCGAATGTGCGCGGAGTTGCAGCGGGAACTACATTTTGAACATCCTCCCTCCTTCATCCTTTGCAGCTTCGGGATCATCAGTGGTGAAGAGGTCTCAGGCGAAACGCCTGGCCCGACCCACCGACACGTCTGGGGGCTCGGTAGGGAGGATACCTTGAGAAGGAGGACGCAGGAAGGAAGAGGAGGAAGAGGAGGAGGAGAGGAGGAGGAGGAGGGGAGGAGGAGGAGGAGGAGCAGGAGGAAGAGGAGGAAGGAGGAGAGGGAACAGGAGAGGTAGGAGGAGGAGAAGGAGGAGGATGAGGAGGCGGAGGAGGTGGCGGTGGAGAAGAGGAGGAGGGGAGAAGAGGAGGAGGAGGAGGACGAGGTTGGAGGACGAGGAGGAGGTGGAGGAGAAGGAGGAGGAGGAGGAGGAGAAGGAGGAGGATGAGGAGGAGGAAAGAGGAGGAGGAGGAGGATGAGGAAGCGGAAGAGGAAGAGGAGGAGGAGGCGGAGAAGGAGGAGGAGGAGGAGAAGGAAGGAGAGGGAGGAGGGAGGAGGCGAAGGAGGAAAAGGAAGAGGAGGATGATGATGATGAGGAGGAGGAGGAGGAGGAGAGGAAGAGGAAGAGGATGAGGAGGAGGAGGAGGAAAAGGAGGAGGAGGAGAAGGAGGATGAGGAGAATGAGGAGGAGGAGGAGGGAGAGGAGGAGTAGGAGGATGAGGAGGAGGCGGAGGCGGAGGTGGATGATGATGATGCTGATGATGATGATGATGATGAGGAGGAGGAGGAGGAGGAGGAGGAGGAGGAGGAGGAGGAGGAAGAAGAGTTTATTATGGGCACACGCGTGCGCTACCCGCGTGGCCCCTGCCCACGGCAGAAGGTATCAACGGACGCTGCCATTTTATGCGCCCAACACGTTTCCATTGCATGTTTTGCGTGTGTCGTCGAAGCAAGACATCGTCTTGAATGACGAGCATCCTGACACGCTTGTGTGGCAGGGTGAAAATACACATGGAACGCTGGCGCCTCCGCACGTGAATCCAGTCATGTTTCGTCGCAGGACCATCATCATGAAAGCCTGGTGTGGAACGCCGGTGTCGTGGAACTGGCCTCCTGCATGTGTATTCACTCGTGTATCATCGCAGGACCATCGTCATGATGATGGGTGCCATGATGCGCAGGTGTGGCACACCGATCTCATGACACACTGGGCTGCCGAAAGTATGCACCAGGGAGTCTTCATTCAGCACCGATCCCAGATATTGTGTAAGACCGTTCGACTACCTTTTGAGCCCGTTTGACGGGAAACCATTATGAGGGCGATTTCGTGGACATCTCCTTTTCGGTGCCGCAGCAAGAAACTATTGCGTTTCGTGGTTCGAGCAGCACTTCGCCTGAACTACAAGCGCCGTCTTCCCCCATCAAGCGCGCGACCCCTTTGGCCTCTGCCCAAAGCAAAAGGTGTCAACGCAAGCTGGCGACTTGTGTGCTCCAGACCCAACGATTGCACGTTCTGCGTGTGT